ACAATTTACATTACATCAAATATACTATGTATGTACTTATTATGGACAGAAAAGGTAGAGATCACTGAATAAATGAGCCCAAAGTCTGTTCTCTTTCCATCTCAACTTTGGGCATTTAGAGCAACACATCGAGTTTTCCCTTGGGGCTGTGTCTTTATACATACTTAAAATTGCGGGACCACAAGTTTATTTGCATTAATTTGAATGTAATCTGCATACAGCAGTGTAGATTACATTGTGTCTCCTGGTATTTTCCGAGAATTGTTTTTCTTTTTCTTTTTTTTCCCCTTAAGTCTGTCAAGATATTCAAAATCATAAATGACATTTGGGGAAAGAAGAGACAAAAATAATAAAAATAATGACACAAATGCCCATTTTCGTAGTACTTTTAGTTTTCAGATTTTTCCAGAGACTGAAATACACTGGGATAAATATCAAAAATACTGTTAAATCAGTTGTCGAGAGAACAGTACCCTGTTCCTTTTCTCTTTAATTATAACAGCAGTCCACTCAGTCTGAATTGGTTGATACAAGGCCCTTAATTGTTTTTATGTTGGTATATGAAAGATGGGTGTTTGGTACAAACGTATGCTGTGGCTTCATCGGAAGATGGCATACGTTTGTCTTCCACTGGACTGACACCAGTAGTGGGTCTATAGACTTAATTTAAGTCAGTACCAACGGAACTGGATGGTCATATGGAAAGATGCTGTGACCTGGTTCTGTAATAAGAAAAGGGAAACGAATTTGAATTTGCATGTCTCTCTCTCTCTCAAGACAAGGATGGGAAAATTCTTGTACAAAGATGACGCGACACAAAATTTCACAATTTATTTTTAAAAAGTCCTTTTCAGGAAATCAAAATTTCCTCTATTCCTAAACTTGAACGAATATTGATTGCTTCAGCTTAATGCATGAGAGCCAAAAGGGAAAAATAAGAAGTGAAACAGATTAGGCAAGTAATAAACTCTAGAGCAGAAACGTGGAACACCGTAAAAGAAAATAAAAGGTTGAAAAAGACTCTGTTACAGTGTTTTAATAATTGTATTTATTGTAATAAATGTAGACATGGTTTAAAGTTACTATAGTTGGAAATTTATTTTGTAACATCAGTGCCTCGAGACATTAGCATCGTAGGGTGTTGAGTGTTGACTCAGACATGAACTTCGCAATCCAAAAAGAAAGATGTGTGCTAGGTGTGGTGCTGTTGAAATACAGCTGCATTATTTAAATTCCTTACAGACTAATGTTGCACATATTTTTAGTGAAGTAAATATTTTTACTGCATAGATCTGTACTCTCTCAAGTAAGAACAAGTTGGACAGAGATGGTGCGAAGATTTTCAGATAGTCCTGGAAGAGTATGGACTCTGAATGGATAAAGAGAAAATTATCGTGTGGTTCTTTGGTTGCATTCGAGCAGGATGGAAAGGGTTCCTTTCTGGGGCTGGGAGACAAGACTTACTTTTAAAAAACATATTTTTTCATTCTTTAGCCTTTTTTTGGCATTTAAATCATCAAGACTGATGAAAGTGCTAATTATGGGGACTTAGTGCACATCTGGAAAGCGATTTGGGAACCCATAGGGGCAGCTGTGCCACCCTGTTCTAAATTACCATTTGCTGAGGACCAAGCAGGGGTAGACATTGCAGCATAATGCAGGGTGTGAGATGTTTGCTATCTTTGGCCTGAGTTGAGCTGAACAGCTGCTTGCTTCTTCATGAGCCACAGATATATTTTTTAGGCCTCCAAATTACTGGGGAGTTTTGAGTAATTGGGAGTAAGGGATAGGGAATTTAACTCTTTCACTAGTAGGAAAAAGTTTGATCAACAGCTTAGAAACTTTAGAACTGAACAGTTGGCTTTGAAGGTTTTGCTAGGACATATGAGAGAGCACAGAAAAAGTGAAAAAAGTGGAACAAAGCTATATAAATAATTGTTTAAAAAATTCTTTTGGAGCAGTCTTATTTATTCCAAGAAAACAGTTGGTTATGATAAGTCACACAGTTCATAAACAATGAAGGCTGCTTAGTTTTGAAAGGAGCTAGAATTGAGAGATAAAGAGAGAAAGAGAGAGAAAGAGAGAGAGAGAGAGACTGACTGAGAGATTTCCATTAAGAATAACGAGTCATAAGAAAGTGTGTTGATATAACACCTTTTTAGAAGATGGACTTTGTATTTGGCCAAAGGTGGCAGCTATGTTTCATTTCCTGGATAGCTGAAAGCAGAAGTTTCTGGAGGAGGATAGCATCCTGTAGGGAGCTCCGTGGTCTTTGCCAGTATATGCTGGGGGAGTGAGCTAAGACAACATGAGGTTTTTGGAGAGACCAGAGATGGTGGAGGTTTTGTTTCCGTGAAATGCAAGCAAACATCCCAGGTCAAGTCCAAGGCAGACATGCCAGGCAGAGTCCCTGATGCTAAAGGTAGCCCATTTCTCTTTATCCTGGCAGCTGTCCGGGGGCTTCCCCACTGGCGGAACCAGCTGTGGACTTGAGTCCTTGCCTCAGCAGGCACTTTGCTCCCATAGGCCTGGCCGTCGGTAGCTGGTGGTTGGATGGGAGCAGCTCTTCTGCTCTTCCTCTTTCCTAAAGATTCTTCCAGTACTTTCTCCTGGTCTTGGGACTGAGGTGGGTAGGGCGGGAGAGGAAAGGCGCCACTGTAGTTGCTCCTTGTTGCTGGCCGGCTTCTCAGCCTCCCAGTCTGCAGACCTCAGTTGTATTCTCGACTGGGCTGGGACTGGGGAGTGGAGGTAGAGGGCCCTAAAAGCCAGGTTGGTCAGCTTGGCATTTATTTGTTGGAAGGGTGATGGGAACGGCACGGGTAATTCTCAGGGGAGAGAGACCGATCAGATCTCCACGTAGGAAGGTCACTTCCATGGCTGGGTCAGTGGTAGATTGATTAGGCAGAGTGGGGAAGGAGATGAGAAATCACTCTGGAGGTAGCAGACTTCTGTGCTGTGGCCCCTGGGGCATGTGCTGTTGCGTTGAGACAAGTCAGTGCAACGCTTAGGATCATCGTTGATTTATCACGATGTATCCATATTTCAAGAACCTCACCTTAAGAATTCTGGCCTGGCTCCCTCTTTCCAAAGAGTAATTCTGTTTTCAGGCAGTTTCCTTTACTGAATACAGTAAAGCGAAGACTGGTGGGCTGACTGCCTCTGCGTTTCCTCAGAGCTCAGCAGCAGATTTCTATCTTGACTGATGTTATTTCCTAACCAGGAACTTGACTATAAACATTTCGAAGAGCAGAGTAGGTTCCCACCCCCTCTACACCGTCCCTCCAGCCTGCGGCCTCAAACAGACAGGGAGTGACTTTTGCTCGGACCTGTTCAAATGTTCAAACATCTTACTGGCCTTGGAAGTCACCCCTCATCTATTCTGAGGACTTTGAGGCAATTACTGCAGACATAGGACATTTAACTGGCGGGGAAGGAAGAATCCCTTCTAAACAGTCATTTCTTTAAATTTCTGTTTCTCTGCTCTCAATTCTTCTGTGAAATCAGTGAATGCAGAAGTGAGGTAGAGATGATGCTTGCCCGGACCCAAGCCTCCTGGACAGGGCCTTGCGGTCTTTAGCAGAAAGGCTTTGGGAGAACTCTTTACCTCCCAAACCTCAATTGCATCGAAGTGTGCTTTTCCGTATTTGACACCTGTTGCTGTGTGTTATGTGCTAACATTAATTATGGGAGGAGGCTGGCCAGCGGTCTGAAAAATAGAAAATGTGTGTGTACCTTCCTGATTGCCTAAAAGTTGCGTTTTTCTTGGTTGTTTTGGTAAGAGGGCCATTTATTCATGCCAAAGAAAGGACATGCAGTGACATGAAAAGGAGCAGGCAGGAGAGATGATTTTTTGAATGAATGAATGAATGAATGAATGAATGACTTGAAGAAACGACTTCCAAATGTACACTGCATTTCCAAAAGGACATGCAGTGACATGAAAAGGAGCAGGCAGGGGAGATGATTTTTTGAATGAATGAATGAATGAATGACTTGAAGAAATGACTTCCAAATGTACACTGCATTTCCGTCATCCTATATACATGTGTTCATCAGATACGTATTTAAGAATCAGCTCCCTTAAAGGAAGACTACAGTGTGAAACATTATCTTGTAGTGAATATTATTAACTAAATAAATTCTGAGCACTTAGTAAGTGTACCAGGTGGAGTACGAGGGGCTGAGTTCTAAGGGTTTCATGTTACTTCATTACTCCTCCCTGTGAGGAGTAATAGGTACTGTCACTATTCCAGTGTTGTTGGAGGTTAGGAAACATGCCTAATGTCACTCGCCCAGAAGTGGCATCGAGCTGGGTTCGACCTTAGGTGTGAGGGCTCCAGAGCAGCTTCCGGGCACTTTCCACGGTAGAGACAGACTTTATTTCTGATTTATTTAGGTGAATTTGTAACACGTCCTCTTGCATCTGTACTTGGAATGACTCCATGTGCCTGAGGGTCTCAGGGGAGGAAGGTCTGGTTCAGGTGTGTTGTAGATACGGCATTCCCCGTTGGTTCCTGAATTCTCGGGTTCCAGTCAGAATTTCTGGGACTGGCGACTTGCCATCTGGATTTGTCAGAAGCTTCCCAGGAGGTCCGATGCAGCCACCTGCTGATTCGGCTTCAGGGAACCTTGTACTGACACAGCTCCCTTGCTGGAGGCACTTCGTTGGGCTTCTGAGCCCCGCTAAGCAGGCAGAGGTGTAAGTTAAAACTGGCCAGAGGCCTGTCTGCTTGCTTGGTGGCCTTACCTTCCTGGGGCCGTTGCTCAACTTCTTTGAGCTACTCTTTGTCTGTCTATACGGTGAGGCAACGGGTCCTGGGTCCAAGCACCGTCCGGAGGAGTAGGAGATGTCGCACGGGAAGCTCAGCCCGGCACATGTTCGCCACTTAGTAAAAATCGGCTGTTGTTGCTATGAGTGCTGTGGAGACGGAGACCAAGGGACACGGGGCTTTCGCAGGTGAACTGACCACCTTTGTTCCTTTCCACCCTCCTCACCCCAGGACGGTTCGCTGGGCAACATCGATGACCTGGCGCAGCAGTATGCGGACTATTACAACACCTGCTTCTCCGACGTGTGCGAGAGGATGGAGGAGCTGCGGAAGCGGCGGGTTTCCCAGGACCTGGACGTGGTGAGTGGGGGCCCTGGGGTTCGCTGCTGCTCAGCTGCCTGTCGCTGTCCGGGCTCCGGGTCCAGCGCCCCGGCTCGCGCCTTCTGATGGACCTGGTTGTGCGCAGAGTATCCGTCAGCGGACCGCTGTACGAGTTTGGGGTAAAAAAATTCACATCCCTAAAGGAATAACCCAGTTTTGCAGATATCAGACATTTGAATTAGTATAGGCTTGGACAGTACCTTAGGTGTTTTGTATTCATTAAAAGGCTGGGGTTTTTTTTGTTTTTTGTTTTTTAAGAGAAAATGATGTTTTTACTGTTGGCCCGTGTATACAGTACTACATTTTTATTTTAAGCCCAAAGGATAGCTAGGCTAGTTCTTCTCTCCTTCCCTCTCTTCCTTCTTTCTTTTCTTCATTTTTTTTTTTCTTTTTGAGAAATAAAATAAGATTTAAAGAAGCAAGAAACAACCCTAATCTCCCACTTAGAAATAACCACGCAGTGTTTTAGTAGCTCTGTTCAGTGTTTTCTGGGCATTTTTACATCAGCAATATAATTCTTGCTTTTTTTTTTTTTTACTTAAGAATTTATTATAGTCTTTCCATATCATTAAGACCTCTTAGTAATCACCGTTTTTCATGGCTATATTCTCTTCTCTCACTCAGATGTATTGAAATCTATTTGGCTGTTTGGTAAAGATCTTTATGTGAGTGTTTAGAGGAGCGTTTGAACTTGCGTGTGATAAATAGTAAATAAACAGCTTAGGTTCTGCTGTATGTGTGCTGGCAGTATTCTCACATCGTACATTTATTATAAAGTATCTTACTGAAACGTCTGCATTTATTAATTGAAATTTGCTACTTATATTATACTTGAATTCATTGTGGCTCAGTGCGTTTCAGATTGTTTTGTTTCACTGTGGTGACCTCAAGACCACTTTGGGAGCAGGAGACAGAGGAAAAGGCTAAACTCCCATGCCTCCTCATCTGACCATCTTTTTTTTGACTATCTTTTATGTGTTGGGGGACTATGTGGGTCTATTTTAAAATAGATCTTTGAAATGTGGATCTTTGGGGCAAAAAAGTTTAACAACTGCTGATGAAATTAAATAATTTTTTCCAAAAAAAATTTCCATAAATTTTAGGGTAGAAATGAAAAAAAAAAAAAAAGACTAGGAACAGATAATTCTTTTATTAGTAGTTTCTTTTGTGTTATAAAGGACCTATTACGTAAGGTACCCAACAAGTGATTTAGACACCACTGCGATATATTCTGTAAGTGGACGTGACTCACTTTCACCTAAGCTAGACGCTGACCTTCTTAGGCACTTTAATTCATGACTGAGAAATAATTATTGATTTTTTTTTCTGTTTTGCTCACTGATTTAGCAGTTGGCAGGGGTAAGAATTAGTGTAATAGAGTCAGTTGAAGCTGAGAAGCATCAGTTGGGGATAGGTGGGAGCCTGACACCATGGCCCAGGCTTCATTTCAAGGCTTCTTTCCTGTAACATTGTCTCCTGGCTTGTGTGAGTGAGTGGTAGGGTTATTTCATTCTCTTAACCTTATGTAGCAGGAGACTCCTCTGCTCCTTTAAAATTAACGAGGCTCCCTGTTGGGCCCTAGTTAATGAAAAGCTTTCCTTTTGGCAAGATTGCAGCAGAACAACTTAAATATTGCACTGAATTCTTGACTGCTGCAATTTTGACCTTGAATGATAGTCTGGTAGCATACTTTGTGCCTTCCTTGGATATTTCACCATGGAAGGAAATGACTGCTGTGAACTAGTAGATGGTCTTTGATAGATAGCAACACTTGACTGCTCGTCCCAAAACTCGAGCCGGTTAAAATTTGGAGTTACCATAATCATCCCACGGTGTTTGGGAACCTCAGAAAGCAGCTTCTAGGTAGGAAAGGAAGCTTGCCTGGCAGAGGGATAAGTAACTTCTTCCCATTGAGACAGATGGGCCTAATTTGGTGTGCTCTGTTCCAGAGCCGCAAAAGGCAGTCTGGGGAGAACAAACACCACATGAGCTTAATTAGTTCTCATCAAAGGTGCTAGAATGTGGTGATGGGTAAAATTGATGGGAGCTCATTCGAGCCAGGCTGGAAACTCTGTTCATTCTTTAAACTGTAGTTAGCAAGAAAAATAAGATCCCCAATCGACACATTTAAGTTCTCTTTCTATGAGATTCTAGTTGCCCCAGTAAAGGGGAGGTCTCTAACTGGTAAAAAATAGGGTAGGTGGCATGTGTTTCATATGTCATTCACATGGCCCAGGACTCTGGATGTCTGTGTTAGACGTGTTTTAAGGTCATCATTCAGGCCATGCATGCATCACCGGCGACCTACAGGAAGTTCCCTCTCAAAGTCATGAACTCATCATAGATTGAGTCCTGACAGGAACTCATTTTCTTGAAAAGCTGTAACCTTCAGTCCATAATACTCCCTTTTACTGCATCAGATTTTACCTGTATTTCTAGACTTTGAGTTCTGTCTTTGGACAAACTTCTTCCCTGCTAGTAAGCAGCCCAGTCAAAGCTGAATGCGAGATGTCTTAGAGGAGGAATAATACATCAAAGCACTGAAAGAAGATAGTAATGTTTTAGGAGCCTAAAACATTTTATAGGGAAAAAAATAGCATCAAGTTTGTATCTGCTGTAGAAAAAGTCATTTAGAGACAGCCTTGAGTACGGAGGGTTTGGGGTGATGGGTTAAATTGATTTTAAGAATTTGTTTCATTTTTAAATCCAATGGGTGGATTTTGGGGATTGAGGGAACATTCTATAGACAGAACAGCTATTTAGATATTTGTGTTTTGCCTTTAAAAAGTCCAGAAATGCATTGCCCTTACGAGCTAATTACATGTCAATGGGAGAATAAACAAACCAAAAAGACACCCTGCCCACAGAGATGCTTGACTTAACCCTGAAAAATAAAAGGTTTTGATAATTATGCTAGTAATTAACTTCCTGGACTGGATGTCAAGTGAGTTTTCCAGCACCTAATCACCCGGCTCCTAACTGGAATAAAGCACTTACTTGATAAAGTGTTTTGGCGGCCAGTTAGTTGAGATGAAGGCACCAGAGAGTACAGATGGATGAAAAGTCATCAACGTGAACAGGGATTATGATTTAAATTGATAACTATGGTGAGAGTCTTTATTTAGCTCCAAATAGGCCCTAAAGGAACAGTATGTTTGGACTGTGGCCTTGACCTCTGCTGGAGGTTAGATCGTTAGTGCTTGTGGACAGCGGGGAAGTCGCCCATGTCTCCACGCATTTGGCACACACCTGAGCACCGTGTGTGTTTTTGGCTGGGAGAAGCCTCATTTGGAAATGACAGCAGCTTTTCAAGTCCATAATGGGCCCATCTCTGCTGATGCTAAGTCTGACATCTGTCAAAGTGACATCATGGCCAGGAAAAGGACACACACAAGGTGGCCTCTTATTACTGGTCATATCAGCTTCCTCAGCACACTTGAGGTTGAGTCCACTTGGGTGTCGGCAGAAACAAGTTTGTGCGGTTGTTGGTGCGGAGAAGCCTGGATAGAGAATCGCCACTTAACGGCAGGACCCTGTCGACCTCGTCAGTCAAAGCCCGGCTTGGACTCCATGCCAAATCGTTCTCATCTGTGTGGGCACAGGAAATAGGAGCCCAGGTGAAGACCCACCCAGATCTTTAAGGACCGGAAAAGTAAATGAAAATATTGAATATTATCACAGAGAAATGTGAGACCAGAGTCATTGCCGATGGTGTAGGAACAATTCTGGGGTATAATTATTGTTCCTTGTAGTTTTCATAATTTAATCTTTCCAGATATAATCCTGAACTAAGAAGCAGTAGGAGTGGTGTCGGTTGTGACTAGTGGTGATTTGGGGGACTTCTTCAGACTTTACCACTCAGGCCCCAGACCCAAGCTGGGATGCCAGCCTCTGCGCTTGCTGCAGTGGGGAAGCACAGGTGGAAAGAGACAGGCTCGGGTTCAAATCCTGGCTCTTTTACATAGCTGGCAAATTGTATAACCTCTCGAAGCCTCAGTTTCCCCACCTATAAATGAAAGTAAAAATATCTCATGAAGTTATTATGAGGAGTAAATGAAACTACTATAAAGTACCCGGTACGTCATCGTAATTCACCTATACCTGTCCATTTCTTTTCCTCCCCTTCTATTCCTAGTTCAGAAACTCCTGTGGTAACACAGAAGAGTATCTGTTTTTTGTACATCATTATTATTTTTCACATGAGTGCGGTGATTTTCTTTTAGTTTTTATTTTGGGACATTTCAAACGTATATCAACAGCATCATATAGTGAACTTCCTGTGCTTCTTACCCAACTTCAACAGTTACCAGCATTCTGCCATTCTCATTTCCCCTTTATTCCTCATACCCTCTTTAGTATTATTACTTTTAGAAACTTATTCTTTTGTGAAGTTAAATTACGTATGAAATTGCACAAATCTTAGCTACACAGTTGTGTCCAGTGGCCATATCCACATCATTTACACTCCCAGCGTCATAGAGAACATAACCATCACCCCTCAAAGTCGCTTCACATCTCTTTTCAGTAAATCCTGGTTTGACGGTAGGGATTTTTGTCAGGTCTGTTTTCCAGCATAGAGAGCAAATGCATGCATGGCACATAATAGGTATTCAATAAGTATTTGTTGAATTCATGTACGTGTATAATTATTTTAAAATATTTAATGAGCATCGAGCTTGTGTCCGAGACTTTGCCCTTCCAAAAATACAGATAGAGATGTATTCCCCATCCACAAAGAGGTCATATTTTAGTAGGGGAATTAGACAGGTAAATAGTATTAAAATGCTGTGAAGGAATGCAGAAGAGAGCCCCTGACCCAGTTTAGGAAAATCAAAGAAGGCTTCCTGAAGGAGGTAATAAATACCCAGGCCCAATTGTAAAAAACATGGAATATTAACCTGGGGTGGGGTGGAGTGTGGACAGTGCAGAATAATTTAAGGCAGAGGGCACGGTTTGTGAAAAGGTAAAAAATTAAGAGA